CCGTCTCAAACTTACCTTTAAGGAAAAATTGTTCTGCAACCTCCACATATTTTAGGAAATGTTTTTACTGTGGGTCTAGAAAATCTGTCTCATGAATAAGAAGCGGATATGTTTAGAAGTATACCGAAATAAATAAATAAAATAGGTCAAGAAAAGTCTTCAATGTTAACGTCTAGTCTCTTGTTAAATCTTAATGTAAAGGAAACATTCCCAGTCTGTCTGCTCTCTGCTTCAGCCAGGCCACTGACAGGAGAGCTATGTTTAACCCAGGAAGTAAGCCATGTAACTGCACTACTGGGACACACTGGACATCCCCGTCCTTCAAACACCTTCCCCTCCATAAAAAACAGCAGAGGCTGGTCCAAGATGGACGGAAGACAATCCTGGAAGATTCCTTGCATTGGATGGATTAGAGGAGAGCAGATTTGTGCGTTAGAGTGGCCTAGTCAAAGCACAGATAAAAATCCAACTTAGAATCTGCTTCAAGGCTTGAAAACTGATGTCCACTCATGTTCTGCATTAAAACCTGACTGAGCTTGAGATGTTTAAAGAAGAAGAGGAAGTAAACTCTGAATCATTGTCCTTCAACCTGACTGAGGGTGGAGGTGGTTTGTGATAAAACGGGGTAAAGTGTAGAGGAAGCCATTACTTCTGCAGGATATAGATGATTTTTCTGGCTCTAAAACAGACGTTAAAACTTGCTTTAAGAACCAGTAACTCTGCAGATTGATGTAAATAAACAAACAACTCATCAGTTAATTTGCCCAAAGTATTAAACCGTGTTTCTAGACGCAGAGTTTGCTGTAAAGCCAAATCAAAGAGCTCCAGTGGGCGTGAAGGTAGACGGAGAAATGATTAAAACTGAATTATCTAACAGCCGTAATGAAACAGGCAAAACCTCCTCTGTGATACTCTGAGCTATTTCTGAACACAAACACGCGTCTCGCTGAGGTTAGCGCCCGCTGTTTGTCTGAGTAAGACAGAACAAAAAAATAACTCGTCAAGCTGATCTCATGAAGTTCTGTTTTAATTGCTGTGCCGGGCTTTTCTTAGACATTTAATTGCTCTGTTCAAAGCATTCCTCTTACTGCTTTCATGCAGAAGGACTCCTACCATGACTTTGGTTTGCTTACCAGGTACCAAATATTGAAATGAGAAAACAAACTGAAATCAGAACTTAAGTAAAATCAGGCCTCAAAAACCCAGCAAGAAAAAGTTAACTTTAAATTTCCTGAAATACATAAATAAATTGATGGTACCCAGGTGGAGGGGCTGTAGGCTCCAGGACTCTGTGAATCCTTAAGGCCTGAGATCAGGTGCGTCCAGGGCAGCTCAAAAAGAAGCTGAATGGACAAACTTAAGCCAGACATAAACTGTCATCTTTCGATCGGACCGACTTTCAGCCTGATGGTGTAGTGAACAGGGGGTAACGAGGGGCGATCAGCTTCTTACGACCATCTCCCGATCAGGAATCATGAGGTTTTTCCAATTCAGTCAGCTGTCGTAAGGTAGTCATGGGCAAATCGCTCAGTGCAAATTCGGAAACTAGGATTCTTCTTCTCTTTACTCTCAAGTCGGGCAGACGTACGCTTTTTTGCCCTTTTCAGTCCGACTTTCCAGTTATGCGAGAACTTTCCGATTGGGCT